ATATATATATATATCCTCCACAAAAACTAGCCAGGTTCAGTGGCGCTTGGCTTTAATCCCATCACTCAAGAAACAGAATCTGTGAGATTTAGGCCAGCCTGGTCTACATCATGAGTTCCAGGCCAGTTGGCTGGAAACAAACAGAAGAAGCAGCTTTGACATTGGCCTCGGAGATTATTTTTCTGGAATGATGCCAAATGTATAAACCACAAAAACAGACAAATGAGACTTCAACAAACTAAAACTTGTGTATATCACAGGACTAAATCTGTAGAGTGAAAAGACAAGCATGAAACAGAGGAAAGTACTTGAAATTATACTTCTTACTGAATTTAATATTTAAAATCATTAAAGAACACAATTACATACCAAATAAGTAACAAACGTAACAGTTGGGCCGAGAACCTGAGTAAGCATCTATATAAACAACAACCTCACAGACAGAATCCTAACATCATTGATAGCATCAAAATTTCAACCTAAGCCACCGTGAGCTATCTCTTTACAGTTGTTGGGACAGCTGCTATCAAATGATGAATTGTTGGTGAAAAGCACTGAGAAAGGACAACCATGTAAACTTTTGGTGGAGACTATAATGATCAAATCTCTTTGGAAATCATTGTGGAAATTCCTGAAAATAACAACAGCAGCAAGGAAAACAGCAACAACAAAACCAAAACACAACAGAAGCCAAGGTATGGAAGATGCTAAATGTCAATGAAAGATGAAGCCTAGGGGAATTCTGATATATCTATACAACAGACATATCTTATTATTAGATAACATGGAAACCTTACAAATGACATTTTACTTTTAAACTTAAATTGAAAACATTCATTAAAATAAACCTCATGGAAAATGACAATATTACTTGACCACATACTCAGAAGCTGAGGGTAGAATTCTGGGTACTGGTATAAAGCATTCTTACATGGAAAATATTTCCCTCTTCATTACTACCCTGTGGTGGTATTTGTCAAAGAAAGTTAAATTCCAGTTTTAAAATACAAATGACCTCTACTAAACTACCAGATAAGGAGTCTATGATTTGCAGTATTGTATTATGTTCTTGAAGCTTTGCTAGAGGTAAGAGGATATACCTTTCTTGCTTTTTTTCTTCAGTTCTTGGGATTGAACTCAGTGAATTTTGTTTAATTTTATTATTTTTATTATTTTATTTGTATGAGTGCATTGCCTGCATATATGTAAGTGCATTTGTGTCATGCATTTTCCACAGAGTTCAGAAGATGGCATTGAATTTCCCTGAAACTGGAGTGACAGATAGTTGTTAGCTGCCATGTGAGTGCTGGGAATCAAGCCCAGTGCTTTTAACCACTGTCATCTGCTCTGAACAATCAGTGCATTTTGAATGAGAGACAAATATTCTACCATGAAGAGACCTTCCTAATTTGATATTTTCATACATCAAATAGCGTATACATAATGGGAAGTATCTGGATGAGATATCTTGAAGACACCCGAAATTCAAAGTTCTTAGATCATGTTAAAGTCAGGAGCAAGTTGCACACAGCGTGGTGCTGAGGTAGAAAACTCACCATAAATTCAAGTCGAGACCAGGCTGAGCTCTAGTGTGAGACTCCACTGGAAAAAAAATCACTAAATAATAGATAAACTAATTAACAAAGGAAAATAAATACAATTTTGTGTATTTTCTTCCTATTTCAACAAAATGATTTTAAAAGGTAAAATCAAAACTAAGAAAGGCTTTACATAGCATGTTGATATACATTCAAAACCCAGAAAGTACAGAATAATGGAAGCATGTTTGTTTCTTATACTGTCGTCTGCTGGTTTGCATAGATAGCTTGAGTTGCTTGGAGGAATTTCTTAATTCTTGTTTTTTTAGAACAAAGTCATAATCTATAAATGTTAATTATTGATTTTCTTTTTTATTTAGTCTCACAGGGAATCTTGAGATAGTGGCCGTATGCATCTCAGTTTGGATATCACACAATTTTCACAAAGAAACAAGCATTCTTTCTGTATAATCCAACTTAGACATGAACATATTTGATATATTTATATTTGAAATATTTGATTATGAAATTTTCGTATCAAATCTAAACTGAAATATTACTAAATTAGTAAAACTTTTCCAAGTAAAAATATATGACATAGTAAAAAATACCAAACAAAAATTTACTAAGGTTATTCAAGAAAGGTAAGCAGAATAAGGAAGTCTCAGATAGTCCCAAAATCAGAAATATTAAC